TGCATTAGACACTAGTGACTGAAAACTGGAAGAGTTTTGGAATGTCATCAAGAATATCATACAGGAAGAATGTAAAAGGTCATTAAGAAGACATGGAAGAAGGAAAAAGTTTTCATCATGTCTACACGGATTTAGTGAAAGAAGCTGGAGATAAGATTCTTATGATTCAGTAGTAAGTGATTGTTATCATGATTAATTGCAACTGTCACAACTATGGATATAGAAGTTTTGTAACCAAAAGGAGGGCAGTAGTTAATACTATAGTCCAGGAACAGAGAACTATAGGACCATCAAGGTTGAAGAGCACAAGTGGAATGTGGGACCCTATCCTGAGAAGCAGCAACACCAGAGATGGAGGCAGAAATGAGGACACGGAGAGATAGAGCAGGTAAGGACTCTAGACTTAATGGAAAGAGAGAGGCTTTGTGCTGGCGGCCAGGAGGCAGGCTTGCAGAATGTGCCCTTTGGTTGTTTAAATGATTATATATTCCTGAGTGTTTTTGTGTACAACCCCCCCCCCCAAAAAAAAAAAACCAACAAAAACAAAAGCAGAGAGACTAGAAGCAAATGCTATTGAATGATGATACACAGAGGGGATCGAAATCATTGCTTTGAAACCGATTTTCTCCCATGTAAATTATCTCTCAATTCAAAATAAAAACTTTACAAAAAAGAAAGAAAGAAGGAAAATGGATGTCAGACGAGAATCTGAAACTTGCTCTCCAATGTAGAAATACTAAAGCAAATAGAAGAAAGTTGAAGTAAAAGAGCTGAATAGAAAAATTCAAACGGCAGCTTGAGAAGACAAAGTCAAATATTATAACAGTGTGTGCCAAGACCTGGAGTTAGAAAACCAAAAGGAAAGAACATGCTCAGTATTTCTCAAGCTGAGGGAACTGAAGAAAAAAAATCAAACTTTGACTTGCAATGTTAAAGGAAAATATTGAATGATGCAGAAATCATCAGAAGAAAAAAGAAGGGATAGAAAGTTATTGTACAGACCATTTCAAGAGCCAATGATACTGAAGGAAGGAGTCCAAGGTACACTGAAGTCATTGACAAAAAACAAGGCTCCAGGAATTGGTGGAATACAAATGGAAATCTTTCAACAAACTGATGCAGCACTGGAGGCGCTCATTTATGTCAAGAAATTTGGAAGACACTGGAAGGCATCTATATTTGTGTCCATTCCAAAAGGAGGTTACCCAGTGGAATGTGGAAGTCATCAGATAATATCATTAATATTGCATGCATGTAAAATTTTGCTAATCATATTTCAAAAGTAGCTGCAATAGAACATTGACAGGGAACTGCCGGAAGCTCAAGCTGGAGTCAGACAAGGACATGGAATGAGGGATATCATTGCTGACATCACATGGATTTTCGCTTAAAGTAGGGAATACCAGAAAGATGTTTACCTGTACTTTATTGACAATGCAAAAGTTTTTGACTGTGGATCATGACAAGGTATGAACACTATAGAGAATAAGCTTTCAGGAACTCTTTATTGTGCTCATGAGGAACTTATTCATAGACCAAGGAGCTGTCGTTAGAACAGAACAAGGGGACACTGAATGGTTTAAAATCAGGAAAGGTGTGCCAGGGTTGTGTTATGTCATCATACTTATTCAGTCTGTATGCTGAACAGATCCTCTGAGAATGAACAAGAATGTGGCATCAGGATTGGAGGAAGACTGATTAACAACCTGCGATATATAGATGATATAACCTTGCTTGCTGAAAGTAACAAGGACTTAAAATACTTACTGGTGAAGGTCAAAGACCACAGCATTCAGTATGGGTTTCACCTCAATGTAAAGAAAACAAAAGACCTCACTACTGGACCTAGTAACGATTGAAGTTGTCAAGGACTTAATTTTGCTTCGGTCCACTTTCAACGCTCATGGAAACAGCAGTCAAGAAATCAAATAACATATTGCTGTAGCAAATCTGCTGCACAAGACCTCTTTAAAGTGTTGAAGAGCAAAGATGTCAGTTTGATGACGAAGGTGCATCTGACTCAAGCCATTGTATTTTCAGTAACCTCGTATGCATGGGATAGTTGAAAAATGAATAAGGAAAGCCTGAGAATAATTGATTCATTTGAGTTACAGAGTTGGAGTATATTAAAAGTAACATTAAAAATATTATGGACTGCTAGAAGAACAAACACATCTGTGTTGAAGTACGGCCAGTATGCTTCTTAGCATTCTGGCCATACTTTTTCAAGTATTCCTTCAAGTACCAAGATGCGAGACTTTGTCTCTCATACTTTGGGCCTTTTATTGTTGTTATTGTTGTTAGGTGCCATCGAGTTGGTACTGACTCATAGTGACCCTATGCACAGCAGAATCAAACACAGCCTGATCCTGGGCCAGCCTCACAATTGTTGCCACACTTGACCCCATTGATGCGCCACTTTGCCAATCAATCTCAATGGTGGTCTTCCTCTTTTTCTCTGACCCTCCACCTTACCACACATGATATCCTTCTCCAGTGACTGGTCCCTCCTGACAGTATGTCTGAAGTATAAGAGATGGACATATTATTAGGAGGGACCAATCCCTGGAGAAGGATTGGTAAAGTGTCAGCGAAGAGATGAAGCCCCCCAGTGAGATGGATTGATATATTGGCACCAGCAATAAATAGGCTCATGTTTCACAACAATTGTGAGGATGGCACAGGACCAGGCAGGGTTTCATTCTGTTGTGCATAATAAGTCGGCGCCAACTCAACAACTTCTCATAATTTTGCCCCCTTTGTGCTCTACCATGTTCATGGGTAATTTTGTAGCAAAATTAAACATGTATATGTACCTTTAAAAATATTGCAGTGTCCTTCAGACTTATTTGTAAAACCTTTCCCACAGGCATAATAAAGGCAAAATAATCTAAAGATCGAATTAAGGTTATTGAGATTGATTAACTCTCTTGAAAACCTCCCTACTGAGTATGTAAGAGTCCAGATATGGTGATTAAATGTCACTTAGAACTTCAGAATTTATTGAGATAACTTGATTTCCCAGTAGTTATTATTCACTTATTGTCACTTTCAATGATCAGATGATGATGATAGTTGTTATTATCAGAACTGACACATAATATGTTGCTCTTGTTACATGCCGTTGAATCAGTTCTGACTCATAGCGACCCTATATAGTGTTTCCAAGGAACAGCTAGTGGATTTGAACCACCAACCTTTCAGGTAGCAGTCCAGTGCTTATGCTACAGTGCCACACCAGGACCCCGGACACATAAGATAGCACTTGCTATACTGGTAGCATACTGGTTACGAATTGGGCTGCTAACCTAAAGCTCAGCAGTTCAAAACTACCAGCTGTTATGCAGGAGAAAGATGAGGCTTTCTGCTCTCATAAAGATTTACAGCTTCAGAAACCCTGTACAGGATCGCTATGGTCAGAACCAGCTCCACGGCACATAACCACCAACCATATATATCATGGAGGAGTGTCCTGGTTTGCTGCCATAGGAAAAGCATTGGACTGCTATCCATAAGATTGGCAGTTTAAATCCACCAGTCACTCCTCAGAAAACCCTATCCAGAGTTTTTATCCAACAGCAACATATTATGTATCAATTCAAATAATAACAAGTATCATCATCATCTGATCGTTTAAAGAGTTTGCTGAGTCAGAACTGACTCCACAGCACTTAACAGCACCAACATATATACCATGTACCATATACTTTTCTTATATGAGTTCATTTAGTTCCCACAACCGTATGAAGTAGGAATGATTAGCATCCTAATTTAACAGGTAAAGATAGATCACATAGAAGTTAAGCAACTCACCCCAAGTTGCACAGCTAGACTCAGCTGGAAAGACTATACTCATCATCACTGTACTATAAAGGCACGATTCCTTTCTTTTTATTTCTTCAAAAGAAAAAAAAATATTCTTCATGCTGAATGAGTTACAGGATAGTTTCAGAAAGTAAGAATTAATACTTTAGTACTAATAGGAGAAATGTATTCTTCCCTTCCTCTTTTGTTTCCGTGTAGTGCTCTTTTTGTGAAACACTGTGATATCTAACAATAATTCTGGTTGTTACTGATTTTTTTCACTTTTTATTGTCAATTGGGTGAAACTTCTGAGTTTTTATAGAGCACTGGGCTAATTGTTCAGAGTATCATTTTAGTTTAGTCAGAAAATCTTTTATTATCAGGATTTCACTCTTTTTGGTGTAGTGGGTTACAGGTTGGGCTGCTAACCAAAAGGTCACCTGTCAAATCCACCAGCCGATGTATAGGAGCTTGTGCTTTTGTAAAGATTTACAGCCTCAGAAACCCTATACAGGGTCACTGTGAATCAAAACCGATTTGATGACACACAAGTCAATGGTTTAATCAGTCAACCAGTTGAACAATTTTATGGGAAACATTTGAGCTTTGTTGGCAGTTTAAAAGATTGGGTTGTAAATATTTCTATCTTTGAAGATTGTGTATCATTGTAATTCAGAATATGAGCTATAATTTCACATATAACAAAGTTTATGGTTGATGGTTAATTGATGTTGTATTTGTTGTTGTTAAGTGTGGTGGAGTCCATGCCAACTCATGGTGACCCTATGTAGGGTTTTCGAGGAGCTACTCGTGTATTTGAGCAGTCAGCCTTGTGGATAGCAGTCCAGTGCTTGTCCTATAGCATCATACCAGGACTTCATAATTTTAATTTTGCTGTTAAGTGACATCAAGTCAGTTCTGACTCATAGCGACTCTGTTTAGGTTTACTAAGGAATGACTGATAGGTTTAAACCACCAACTTTGTGTAGTAGACCAGTGCTTATTCTACAGTGCCACACCAGGACTCCATAATTTTAATAGACAAATTAAAAAGTGAAGAATGTTGTAGACATTTAAATAAGCTTATCATACAATAAGTTATTTTTTGGAGTATAGGTATGTTTTTGAAAGAAAATAGAAGGTACTATTTTTTCCCTCAAACCATTCAGTTCTCCTGTCTTCCTTTTATTTTTTAGGATTTTGGCCCCCAACAGCAATCATCAAGATGTTGAGACCCTCTATAACTTTCTAATGAAGTGTGAGGTATGAAAAATATTTTTGTTTGTCTCATTTCTAAGGTAAAATTTTTAACATCAATTAAAAAGTTGTTGTTAAGTGCTGTTGATCGAGTCAGTTCCTACCCATAGTGACCCTGTATAGGGTTTCTGAGGAGCTGCTGATGAGCTTGAACCACCAACATTGCAGTTCAAACCAGCCTTACATTCCAGCACATTAACTCACAGCACCATAGCTTTCTAAAATGGAATGGAATTCTGTTTAATTGACGCTTGCATTAAATTAGGTTCTTGAATTCCACATATTCAGTTCTTTTCTTTAGTTCCCTAAGAAAAAGCAGACAATAATGCTTCTCATTGAGGGTACTCTTGGAATTTTGGAGAGGTCAGTTCTTGTGTGGACATGACAGAGTATTTAGCATCCTTGTTCTTCAGGTACTGAATACCAGTAGCTTCCTCAGTCATTGTAACAACTAAAAGTATCCTACCACTCCACCCAACTCGAATGGCCAAATTGCCTCTTGGGAGGAAGAGCCACTTCTGGTTAATGACTGGAAAGAACTGGAAAGAGCCACTTCTTGATGACTGGAAAGAAAAGCTATAATTTTGTTTCCTCTATAGCTGCGGTCTAGACCCTGGAGTTAAGCTGTAGTGAGGCTCCATTGTGTTTTTTCTAAATTAATTTGCATGTTTTCCTCATCATTGCTGTTGATTTTTAATTTCCATTTGCCTGAAGTACTGGTCTGTCACTGTAGAATAAGCACTGAACTGCTAACTGAAAGGTTGCCAGTTCAATCCTACCAGCCACTCCTTTGAAACCCTATACAGGGTTGCTATGAGTCAGAACTGGAAGGCACTTAACAACAACTAAGCTCTTTTGCCCATATGTTCTATATATTTCTACTTTTCAGTTGTGGATTTGTGTTTATTTTAAAAAGGTATAAATGTACAAATAGATCCCTAGGTGTTTGAAACTATTTGTACAAAACTCAACTACCCAGAGGGCCTTAGAACAAAGGCCTAGCACTCGACTTCCATAAAGACAAGTCTTGGTGGTGCAGCGGTTCATGAGTCGTAATCATTTGGTTTTGATAAAATGCCGGAGTGTGGTATATATTTAGGTCTCACATTTAATATGCCGTCAAAGTCCTTTAAGTAGATTTCTTCGCTTTTATACTGGTTCACTCTGTTTAACTTTTTGCATGCCAAAAATCTTCCAATAACAACTTTGTGATTAAGTTTGAATTTGAGGTCAAACTGTATGTTCAAATGATGATACACTAAATGTATGATCTAGGAAGACTTAACACTCCCTGACTTAATGTCTTCACTTATAAAATGGGACTACTCATTTTACAACAGATAAATTATGAAGACCATGATTCGTAAACACTCAGGGATTTCATGTATGCTGTTGTTGTTGTGATATGCCATCAAGTCATTTATGACTCGTAGTGACCCTGTATAGTTCCAAGGAGCAGCTGGTGGGTTTGAACTGCTGATCTTGTGGCTTACTCCTAGTCCAGTGCAGATCCTACAGTGCCAAACCAGGAGTCTGAGTTAATACATGTTGCTGTTGTTGTTAAGTGCTATTGAACTGGTTCTGACCCATAGCAACCATGTATAGGGTTTCTGAGGAGCAGCTGGTGAGCTTGAACTACCGACCTTGCAGTTCAAACAGCTTTGCAGTCTGGCGCATTAACCCACACTGCCACACCAGGACTCCGAGTTAATATATAGTAAATGCTTAATATATACAGTTAATACCAAGTATTCCAAATAATTTCTGACACAGAGAAAATAGTCAAAAAATGTTACTTGTTTTTAAGCAAAGAATATTATTAATACTTATAATAAACTATTATAGTTCCTACCAACATAATTTGATTGTTGTTGTTAAGTGCCATCAAGTCCATTCCAACTCATAGCAACCCAGTATAGGGTTTCTGAGGAGCGACTGGTAGGCTTGAACCACTGACTTTGAGGTTAGCAGTCCAGTGTTTATCCTGTGGTGGTGCTATTTATCTATAATTATATATAATATAAGTAATTACAATAAATATGTTATAATGGGATATATTTAAGCATAGAATGGTGTTCTATTTAAGCATAGAATGGTGTTCATATGAGCTTTTTAAAAATTAACCTTACTACTTTGTAGTCACGTTATATATATAATTATTATGACAATTTCCTCTTTTGAAATGATTGGTGTATTTATATCATCATACTTTCTGAGCCTGAAACTGAGATATTAGGTCTAATAATAAAAATATATTTGTGGAACAATAGGATATTTTAAAAATCACATCCTGGAAAATCTAGAACATAGATCTATTTGGGGTTACTGCTTTGTGTTACTTAAAGAGAATTGGGATAAACAACCAAACTTATCACTTATAAGAATATGTACAACTGATTCCCACAGTTTTGAAGTCATTTCTTTTAGCATAATTTTCCCTATACACCACATAGTACACGGAGATTTTGGTCTCATACCATTAACAATGCTGCTGTTGTTGTTGTCGAGTGCCATTGAGTTGGTTCTGACTCAAAGCAGCCCTGTATAAGGTTTCCAAGGAGTGACTGACTGGTGAGGTTTGAACTGCCAACCTGTTGGTTCAAACCTACCTTGAGGTCCAATGCATGATGTTGCTGTTAAGTGCTGTCAAGTCAATTCCGATTCATAGTGACCCTGTATAGGGTTTCCAAGGAGCGACTGGTGAGCTTGAATTGCCGACCTTGTGGTTCAAACTGATCTTACAGTCCAGTGCATTAACCCACAGCACTACACCAGAACTCTCACCAGTACATGATATTGTTGTTGTTAAGTGCCGTCGAGTCGGTTATAGAACCATCTAAATCTTTGAAGAGGGTTAGCTCTTTTTATATTCAATTTTCACCTTTTGTTCTTGAATTTTAATAATTTTTTTAATTAAGCCATTTCTCATACTCAGCATTCATTATAAATAGTATAACGATAGTTACAACTCTGTTTACCAACAAAGTCATCCTTTAGGTATTTGTTCCCTAGGAACTAAAATTGTACACTTAAGCAGAAAGATGGTATTTGACAGTATAATTTAAAATGCCCTAGTGGTCGTTCAAACCCACCAGCCACTCCTCAGAAACCCTCTACAGAGTCACTAGGAGTTGGAAACAGCTCAGTGGCACTTAATAACAGCAGTATGGTTAATTAGGAGCCTTTGTTGCACAGTGGTTCAGCACTTTACTGTCAGTGGAAACGTTGACTGTTGAACTCCTCATCTGCTCTGGAAGAGAAACATATGGCAGTCTGCTCCTGTAAAATGAATTATAGTCAAAATGACAAATATGATGAAACAAGATATTTCAGGGTAAAGCCTATAGTGTATGTCATGAATTTATGTTTTAGTTTTCCTTTGTTAGTAAAGTAAGTGCAAAATATTAGTTATTTCCTATTTCCTGGAGACATAGTACATCCCAGCTGTTTCTAGGATAAATGCATAATATTATTTGGATGATTGCATTAAAACTAAGGGTAAATCTAGATCATCTTTGTATGTTTTTCTTTGTTACTTGTGTACTCCTGCAGTATATTGAAGAATTTATTATTGAATGATATATTTACTGGCTACATTTTAGGAAATAAACTTAAGTTTGTTTTTCTTTTTGTTTTTAAGAGGATAAGCACATGACCTCAAGGTTGGTTTGAACTGCCCTCAAGGTTGGTTTGAACTGCAAAGTTGATGGTTCAAACTCACCAGTCACTCCTCAGAAACCCTATACAGGGTCACTATGAGTTGGCACTGACTCTGTGGCACTTAATAACAACAATGACTTAATGAGAAACCCTGGTGTGGTGCTGTAGGATAAGCACTGTACTGTTAGTCTCAAGGTTGGCAGTTCAAACTTGCCAGCCTCTCCTTAGAAACCCTATACAGGGTCACTGTGAGTCAGAAGCGACTCAGTGGCAGTTAGCAACAACAGCTTACTGAACTATTTTACATCCATATTCTATCATATTTAAATAGTGGTTATACTATAAATTATCTCCTTCTTTCTCTGAGATGTGTTAAAGTTTGAATCCATTTAGGTCCTGGCATGTGGGATAATAGTGAAAATTTCAAAGGCCCTTTAAAATGATATTTGATAGTATCATTCAACAATGACAATATGGTTAATTAGTAGCCTGGTGGTACAATGATTAGATGCTTAACTGCTAATCGAAGGGTTGGTAGTTCGAAGCCACCCAACATTTCCACTCTGTTTCATGGGGTGGTAACTACGCCAAAATTGACTCCATTCCAGTTTAGTTTAAGAGTGTGTGGGGGAAGGTAGAATCCCCACTGAATGGTTTTTATCTTATCTAGATGGGTCTGGTGAAAAGAGATGGGAATAAGATTCTTATGATTCAATAGTGAATAATTGTTATCATGACTAATTGCGACTGTCGCAACTGTAAAGGTAGAAGCTTTGTAACAAAAAATGGGGGGAATGGTTAATCTTACAGTCCAGGAATAGAGGACCCTAGGACCATCAGAAGAGAAAAGCACAAGCAGAATGTGAGACCCTATTCAGAGAAGAAGCAGCACCAGAGATAGGGCAGAGATGAGGGCATGGAAAGATTAGCTAAGGACTCTAGACTCCTGGAAAGAGAAAGGCTGAGTGATGGCAGCCAGGAGGCAGACTTGCAGAATGTGCCCTTTCTGGTTTAAATTATTATATATTCCTGAGTGTTTTTGTGTACCTCCCCTCCCAACAAAAAACAAAAAACAAAAACAGAGGGAGTAGAGGCAAATATTGTTGAATGATGATACATGGAGGAGATTGTTACTATTACAATGAAACGATGGTGTAAAACCAGTGTTCTCCCATGCAAACTAAAACTATCAATTCACAATAAAAACTTTAAAAAATGGACTACATACCACCCAACAACAACTGTGCCATCACTACTCGCTTAGGTAGATATGCAGTTTTAAATAACTCTATTTTTTTTCTTTTTAGATAAATAAAAATATTAAATTTACTGCCCAAGAACTTTATGATTGTGTCTCACAGACTGAGTATCGGTAAGTAATCTAGTTATTTCCATTGTAATGAGACTTTTCCTTATTTAGCGCCACTCAGTGGTGGTGATTTTTGTTTAGTTTTGTCTTTTCGCTGTAGTAGGTTGTTTTACATTTATTAATATGAAATAGTTGATAGATACAAAGGAGCCGTATGTGTGTGTGTTTAGAAGAGAAGGAGTATGAGGATGTTTAAAGCAGTGGTTTGTAAACATTTTTTGCCTTAGGGATTTTTTAAAGTTATTGAAGAGTCCAAAGGGTTTTTATTTATGTGAGTTATAGCTGTCTATATTTACTGTTAGAAATGAGAAAATTTAAATATATAAAATTCCTTTTAAAATAATTCATTTCATTTCATGTTAAATAGCATTTTTATGAAAATCACTTTTTCTGAAACAGAAAATATTACCGAGTGGCATTGTTGTATATTTTTGCAAATCTCTTAATGTCTGGCTTAGAGGTAATGGTACAGCTGGATTCCATACCTGCTGTTTGAATTAAAGTGACATTTATATAGCATAAAATGAGTAACCATTTTAAAGTGAACAGTTCCTTGGTAGTCTGTGTGTCCACAGTGTTGTTCGGCCACTCCCTCAGTCTATTTCCAGAACACCTTCATCACCCTAACAAGAAGCTTAGCAGAAGCTTAGTAACTTAGCAGTTACTCTTCATCTCTCCCTTCAGTCTAAGAACCACAAATCTGTACTCTTGGATTTATATATTGTGAGTATTTCATATCAATGAAATCAGACTTATTTCACTTAGCATAATGTTTTTGAGTTTAAATTGTAGCATGGTTCAATGATTGACTGTTTTTTATGACTGAGTAATAAATAGTTCATTGTTTGTGTATACCGCAGTTTGCTTATCTGTTCATCCATTGGTGGCCATTTAGACTGTTTCCTCCTTTTAGCTATTGTGAATGATGCTGCTATGAACATTGTTGTTGTTGTTAGTTGCCATCAAGTCACTACCTACTCATAGTGACACTATGCACAACAGAACAAAACACTGCCCTTTCCTGGGCCAACCTCACAATTGTTGCCATGCTTAATAAGCCCATTGATAGATGCTGTCATTTTGCCAGTTCATCTCGCTGGGGGTGTTCCTCTTTTTCTCTGACCCCTCCACTCCACCAAACATGATATCCTTCTCCAACGATTGGTCCCTCCTGACAGTATGCCCAAAGTATGAGAAATGAAATTTGGCCATGCTGGTCTCCAAAGAGCACTCTGGCTACACTTCTTCCAACACAGATCTGTTGATTCTTTTGGCAGCCCATGGCTGGAGTTGTAGTTGTTAGGTACTATTGAGTTAGTACCGACTCATAGCGACCTTATGCACAGCAGAACGAAACACTGCCCGATCCTGGGCCAACCTAACTATTGTTGCCACACTTGAGTCCACTGATGCTGCCACTTGGCCAATCCATCTCGCTGGAGGCCTTCCTCTTCAGCACAGATCTGTTGGTTCTTTTGGCAGCCCATGGCACTTTCAATATTCTCCTCCAACACCATAACTCAAAAACATCAATTCTTCTATGGTCTTCCGTATTTACTGACCAGTTTTTGCATGCATATGAGGTTATTGAAAATACCATGGCTGGGGTTAGGCGCACCTTAGTCTTCAAGCTGATATCATTGCTCTTCAACACTTTAAAAAGGTCTTGTGCAGCACATTTGCCTAATGCAATACATTGTTTAATTTCTTGACTGCTGCTTCTATGAATGTTGATACTTTATCCAAGAAGAATGAAGTCCTTGGCAACTTCAGTTTTTTCTCTATTGATAAGAATGTTGTTTATTGGTCCATTGGTGGGGATTTTTGTTTTCTTTCCTTTGAGAAGCGATCCATACCGAAGGCTGTGCTCTTTGCTCTTCATCAGTAAGTATTTTAAGCCCTCTTCACTTTCAGCAAGAAAGGTTGTATCGTCTACATATCACATGTTAATGGGCCTTCCTCCAATCCTGATGCCACGTTTTTCTTCATAGAACCCAGCTTCTTTGCTCAGCATATAAATTGGATTATTTGCTCAGCATATAAATTGAGTAAGTGTGGTGAAAGTATACAACGCTGTTGCACACTATTCTGAATTTTAAACCATTCAGTGTTCCCATGTTATGTTCGAACAACTGCCTCTTAGTCTATGGACAGATTCTTCATGAGCACAATTAAGGGTTTAGGAATACTCATACTTTGCAATGTTGTCCATAGCTTGTCATGATGCACAGAATCGAAAGCCTTTGCATAGTCAATAAAGCACAGGTTAACATCTTTCTGGTATTCTCTGCTTTCAGCCAAGATCCATCGGACATCAGCAATGATATCCCTCATTCCACGTCCTCTTCTGAATCTGGCTGAAGCCTCTGGAGGATATACAATAATTTGTTAACCACTTTTCAATTCTTTTGGGAGTATACTCAGTGGTATTGCAGGGTCATCTGTCAAATTTAACTCTTTGACGAATCACATACTGTTTTCCCCAGCCAGTTGTACCATTTACTTTCCCCCCATAAATGAGGGTTCCAATTTATTCCCAGTTTTGTCAAAACTTTTTATTTTTCATTCTTTTGATAATTGCCATCGTAGTGGGTATGGAGTGATACCTTATTGTATACCTTAGGTTTGACTTGCATTTCCCTATCACATGTGCTTTTGCGTTTAGTGTTTTATGATAATCACGTCATGTAGACTCTGAAAAGCTTTTGTATACTCACAAGAGAATGAGAGTACAAAAGGCAAATTATGTCTTTCCCTGATTTTGAGAATAGGTTTGACTTCACAGACACTCCAAAGGAGCCTTAGGTTCCTTGGTGTCCCAGACTGTGCTTTGAAGACCACCTGGTATGGAGAATAGCCATAGACTAAGCAAGTGGACCTTTACCTATTCATTGTTGTGCCTCTCCCCACACAGTAACTCTTCATGTGATATTCAGAAAGATAAAGTGAAAAAAAAACCCAAAAAACTCTGCAAGTATTGCATTGTCAGTTTCCCAGAAAACCAATTGAAGAAAATTATAAATAATTAAAGATACAATTAAGAGAGCTAAAAATACTATTGTTGTTGTTAAGTGCCATGGAGTCCGTTCTGATTCATAGCAACCTTGTGTAGAGTTTCTGAAGCTTTTTTTTTTTAGAAATCTGCAGGAACAGAAAGCCTCATTTTTCTATTGCACAAATTATCTTTAATTAAAATAATTTCAGAAAATCTTGTATCTTTAAAAATACATTTCTTGAAGGCTCCATTGATATACTTTAAAAAATTATTAATAATCTATGATGAAGAAAAATGCAACTTCTCTTTTGTAGCAGCTAAAAAGATAGAACAGCATTAATAGGGATTATCTTTTTAAATTATTACATAATCTTAGCAGCTGTTTGCTGATAGTTTTCTCCTTATGTGTCTTCCCTTGTTTTGCTGTTTATAACTTGCAAATATACCTATGTGACTATAAAGTTTTAATAGTAGTCAGTTTTAAAGGTAGCTATCAGTGTGCTTCATTGTTAAAACTCTAAACGAATACATTAATTTGATACTATCAAACCGCTGGATTGATAATGATACATATTAGTGTAAAATAGTTTTTGAGAGAATATCTGAAGCCAATAAGCATATACAACTCACTGAATTACAACTCTAGCTAGCACTGGATCCCAGCAATCTATATTTTGAAAACCTCACCAAGGTATGCTAGAGTTAGAAAACCATTGCATTAAATTCAAGTCTGGTCTGAGCAAGAAACTTTAGACATAAAATACTCTTTGGTGGAAAAAAATCTAAAAACCTATCTTAGATGTTTGATATTTTCTATTTTCTCTATTTTCATTAGAGAATTATATAATTTCATGTGTCTAGAGGATTATACATTTTATCTATTTATTTACTGCAGAAATGCTGTTTGTAAACTTGACCACATTATTTTTGGTACTGTTTATGATTGGTAAATACTACCAAAAATAATGAGGTCAAATTTACTAAACAGTATTTCTGTAGTAAATAAATAGATAAAATTGATGCTTTTGATTTATGGAGGAGAATTTTGAAGGATATTGGAGGAGAATAGTGAAAGTGCCCTGGGCTGCCAAAAGAACCAACAGATCTGTGTTGGAAGAAGTGTAGCCAGAGTGCTCCTTGGAGGCCAGGATGGCCAAACTTCGTCTCTTGTACTTCGGACATATTGCCGGGAGGGATCAGTTGCTGGAGAAGGATATCATGTTTGGTGGGGTGGAGGGCCAGAGAAAAAGAGGAAGACCCCCAGCGAGATGGATTGGCAAAGTGGCAGCATCAGTGGCCTCAAGCATGGCGACAATATGAGGTTGGCCCAGGATCGGACAGTGTTTCATTTTGCTGTGCATAAGGCCACTTTGAGTTGATACTAACTCGATGGCACCTACCACCAACAACAACATCAATGTGATAAGACATTGCGTTGTTTCACCTTTGGCCTGTTAAAATAGTGTTGCTATGAACATCCATCAGCAAGTGTTTGTTTGAATACCTGCTTTCAATTACCTAGACATAGAATTGTTGGAATCCTGTTGTAGCACTGTGGGATATGCACTAGACTGTTAACCACAAGGTTGGTGGTTCAAAACTACCAGTCGCTCCTTTGATAGTCTACCCAGTTTCGCTATGAGTCAGAACCAACCAACTCAATGGCACTTAGCAACTACAACAAGGTGCTTCTATATATTACTGTTTAAGGAACTGTCAAACTGTTATCCATTGCAGCGGCACCATTTTACATTTCCACTAACACAAAATGAACAAGAGTTCTAATTTTACATCCTCACCAACAATTATTTTCTGTTTAGTTTTTTAAATAGAAAGTCTAGTGATGGAAGGTGGTATTTCATTGTGGTTTAAATTAGCTTGTTTTTTAACTTTTTATTGTGAATTGAGCAAAGGTTTACATAGCAGATTGTCAGTTTTGCAATCCCTCAGTTAACCTCAGTACCAACAGTTAACAGCATTTATCTCTATTCATTTTAACTATTGCATT